GCAGTCGACGCGGCGTTTGCTGCCGCTGGGGGGCGCGGTCAAGCTGGAGCTCCAGGGGCAGATGGACAGCAAGGGCTTGGAGCGCTTGGGGGCGCGCTGTCCGGAGATGCGAGTCGTTCTCCGGGAGAAGCGCGTCGAGAACGACCTGGGGCGCAAGTCGGCCGGGCAGTCGGATCCGCAGCCTCGCGGCGTCGCCTAGATGAAGCGCGAGGAGCTTATCAAGGCGGCCCAGACACGCGATCGCGCGCGGCAGCCTCTGGAGAAATCGACGCGCGCATCGTGGCCTCCGCCGCCGCGGGGGCCAAGGACGCGTTGCGACGCCAATGCGGGTCCAGTCCAGAACATTTGGCGTTCGGAAGAAGCCGGCGCCTCCCGGCGGACCTGGTCGACGGAGCGCGCCGCGACGCCGCGCGCGAGGGAGCTGAATGACAGCCGATGGAACGACGGCTCATAATGATGACGGCAGCTTGCAAAGCGTTCGTGGAGTTGCTGAAGGACACTACCCTACAGAAATCATTCTTGGGACGCACGGAGGACATGCCTCGTCGGCTCGCGCAGGGCGACGTGCGTTTCTTCTCATTACCGGCAGCCCAAGCAGGGCCCCACCAAAAAGGGCCGGGCCCCGCCGTGGTCGCGGGGGGGCAGGGCGGGAAGTAGTGGATATCCCGGGCGCATCATGCTCGGGCGCACGAACGCGCTCGACTTACCTCAACAGCGGCGATCTGATGGCCTGGCACGGGTGACCAACGTGGGGGGGGGGGGGCAATCGAGCAGCTCAGGCGAGTGCAAGACAGCGTCGCCCCAGACGCGGAGATGGAGTTCGTGGCCCTTCGAGGCGAGCCACCACGTGGAGATCCAGAAGAGGCGGGGGCGCTGCACGGACGGCCCCGAAAACGTCGGACCCCCTCAGTCTGAAGTTGAGCTCCCACCGGCAGCAGCTGCGCCTCACTTCCGACCTGGAGATGTCGCGCAATAGAAGGAAAGTGCCCGCCGTTGCCCGAAGCAGACTGCGCAGGCTGAGGGAAAGAGGAGCTCCAGCGCACGATGGCCTTCTACAGCCCGCCTGGCGATGCACCGCAGCGCATCAAGTCCAGGAGGACAACTGGAGCTCAAATGCGAGAACGTGCCGAGCCGTATTCTCGCGGCCTCTATGGCGCAATTGATGACCCCGCGGACCAGGGTAGCATCACCAACGCAGCATGTGCGACGATGCTCAGAGGCGCCAGAGCTCAAAGCGAGCGGCTGCGCAAGAAACTGCAGGGCAAGGAAGTTGCCTGGAAGGACATCCAGGATTACCAGAAGCCTTTCTATCTGAAGGCTATCGAGGAGCATTTTGGATAAATGGGTGAGGTTCGGATCGGTGGAGATCCTACTTCTCGCGCGACAAGAATCGGCCCCTGCCCTCGAGATTCGGCCCCGAGAAAACCAGTTCAGCATACGCGCTGAATCATATCCAGCACCCATCAAAGCCACGTGAATACTCGGATCCAGATCCAGATCTGCACTGGGACCAAATCTGTGCTGACATCATGTCAGTGTCTATGCAAGGAGAAGAACCGCCTCGCGAGCAGGAGTTGTTCATGGAGCAACTGCCGAAGGGCCTGCCTGGGCTACGGCCTGGCCGTGTACTTCGAGTGGTGAAAGAAAGCTTCGGCCTGGCGACGGCGCTCAGACAATGATGCGCTTCGCTCAAAACAGCATTGCTGAATGTTTCAATTGTTGGAATTCGGTGGGCAGCATTGGCGTTTGAGGCAGAGTTTGGTAGATTTGGCATTGTTTGTTGGCCGTGGCGCTGGTGGGCCACTGCAGACAATTGCGCGCGCGCGTGTTGGCGACGCGCCAGTCTCCGCCGGCACGGAGGAGACCTGCAAGATCATCAAGGTCATCTTCCCCTATGGAGGTTGGCCTGGGTTGCTTGTTGCCCTCTGCGCCAAGGGCGCGACAGTCAAGTCCGACGGCTCAAGTCAGCTACGCGGAGAAGTGTCTGCGGAGAAGCTGAAGCCCCCGGAAATGGACGTGGACCGCGAGCGAGACCTAGGGCGCCCATCTACACGCGTGGAAAGCGCCGAGAACCGGAGTTTGATCGGCAGTGCTGGCTGGCGGTCAACTCAGGTGCGCCCCGACTTATCGGCTGTTGTTTCCATGGCGCAGACAGCGCGAGATTCGCCTCTCGTTTCCAACCTCGTCGAGACGGGCCACATCGCGTCCGAAGCTCGCCGGCGCAGCGACGCGAGCATCGCCGCGCCGCGTGCGAAGGAAACCTTTGGGTTATATGGTTTCATGGCGCTTCGCAGGCCAACGTGGGCGAGCCCGACGACGAGGTCGCCAGCGTCGCGCGGCGGCGTGCCCGTCGGGCAACGTCATCGTTCGCCTCGCCTCGTGCGCCCCCGAGCGGTTCAAGGCGATAAGTCACGCGGCATTCCTGATGCGCGCCGCCGAGAAGAAGATTTTGGCCGACGGCGAAGGGAGAGCTGCTCTAGTGGACTGAAGATCCGCTACCATCTGGAGGATTTGTCGCAGCACGTTCGCCGAGGAGACCATGAGTGCTGCGGACGCTTTCGGAGTCGCCATAGTGATGGGGGCATCTCTTTTGAGCGATCTGAAATTTTGACCTAACGTTGGACCGCGACGACCCGTGCTTATGTCCCACAAGATGCGCTACCGATTGTGCTTCATTAGATGGCACCGTACATCGCGATGGGGCTGTCAAGCTACCCTCGGAGAGACGTTTGGTTTTTTAATTTGACTGGCTATCGCGAGCTTGTGGAAGCTGAGCTGTACGACGAGACGGCGGCGGCCAACGTATCCAGACTCCCGCTCTCGTGGTGTCCGACGCAGCACGTGCTCGCGGACGTTCCCACCAAGAGAGTGGACGGTACAAAAATACGAGCAGCTTTGGATGGTTGGGCGATGCTTCATCAGGATACGCCCCCGGAGGACATTGCGACAACGATTTCTTGGTGAACTCATGGGCCACGAGCTGGGAGAAATGGATTTGGTGGTGGTGGGAGCTCCTTGTGAAGTTCAAATGCCTACGCCATGCGCTACTGGGAGCTCCTGGTGGGGCTACTTTCATGCCCACGCCTGGTGCGCCCTTCTGCTGTTGGCTTTGCTAGCTCAGTTTGGGCAGATTATGGTATCCGCATTCTGCGCCATGTTTCATTACACTTGGCTAAGTGTGCGTACGCCTGTCTCTGTGTTTGTGTACAGTAGGTGCTGTGCCTGTTACATACGTGTTTGCACGCGCGTGTGCCTTGTGTGTGCTATATGTCATATGCTGCGCAAGCATGTGGTGTTGACTTCGTGATCGCCAAAGGCCAACGTTATCTTGGAGCTATGTTGGAACGATCGTGAATGCGAGAGCGCGTGCTTGCCATTTGTATCAGCCATGCGCATCCGTATTACATGATGGCTCGCAGGGCTCAAGGAATAACGCGACAGATAACATCAGCAACATACGTAGCACCGTATAGAAGTTGCATCTTCACAAATGGGGGGGAAGAGGCCCGAGGAGGAGCAGGAGGAATAACGTTGATGATGACGATGATGATGATGATGAGGAGGAGGAGGCGGGAGATTAGAAGGATGTGCGAGGATGGGTTATCGGAGGGGGGCCTTGTGCACGCCTCTGGAGATCAGGAGATCCCGGGGGACTTCGGGAGGTTTCTGCGGATCTCGTGGAGACTTCCGCTTTTCTTCGGGGGTATTCCCAGAGGGACGAGGATGAACAGGACGAGGCGGAGGAGGAGGAGGGGGAGGAAGAAAAAGAGGAGAAGGCGGGGGAAGAGGACCAGTGTGCACCCAAGATTCATCAACGACGTTGAAATAGACCACCCCTTCCAGCTCCCTCTTCACAGGCCCCTACAAGGGTTCCTTCCTTCTGAAGGGAATTCCCCCTTGGGAGGGACACCATTCTTGGGACTTCAACACCGCGGATCAGCGTATTTATTGCGCCCTGAGAATCCAGAATCGCTCCAAAACGTAATTTCTGGTACGTTAGCCATGAGAATCGGTGAAATGCTTGCGAATTGTTGCAGTGAGTGCGCGCGGCGCTTCCAGGCGAAAATTGCATTTTGAAAACGAGCCGCCCTCAAACCGTGACGCTCTTCCAACTGTTTTGAAAGAGTGCGCGCGGCGCTAAGGCGAGAGCCACATTCTGAAAACCACCCGCCCTCAAGTCGTGAAACTTTTGCATTGTTCAGCGAATGTGCGCGGTGCTTAGGAGAGGGCCACATTTTGAAAACGACTTGCTTCCAATCCTTGGAAGTACTGCAACTTGCTAGCACGAGTGTGCGCGGCGCCAAAGCGAGAGCCACAGTTTGGAAGGGACCTGCCCTCCATATGTGAAGCTGTTGCCAATTTCGAAGCTTCGAGATCATAAGTCGAAGCGCCCGGCCGGCCCTGTCGACCGGCCCCGGGGTGCGTAAGGGAGGAGGAATCTACAAGGAGAAGGAATGAAACAGGCGCAGCAGGAGCAGGAGGATCAGGAGAAACAGGAGGAGAGAGGAGATCCCCTCGACTACGTCCGTCCCGTTGTCTCTCCTCGCCCTCCCAGCAAGGAGGTGGCGCATGTGGGCTACAGCTCGGGCCTTCAGCGGCCGTTCGGGGCGATTCGGGTACCTTTGGGACGCTCCCGACGAGTCACAGCTACTGGATAGCACCCCGAGGCAAGAGCTCTCGAGATCCGACGAGAACGCCCGAAAACCCAGGATCAGGATAAGGACCAGGACCAGGAGGAGGAGGGAGAGGAGGAGGAGGAGGAGGAGGAGGAGGAGGAGGAGGAGGAGGAGGGGAGGAGGAGCAGGCGAAGGGGAGTGAGGGACAGGGTACTTCGAGGAGCGAGCAGGAGGAGGAGGAGGAGGAAGAGGAGAAGGAGGAGGAGGAGGAGGATTAGGGGGAGGCGGAAATGCACGAGGCGGAGGAGGCCGAGGAAGACTCCTCCTGCCTCCGGCGGCGGCGACGGGAAGCTGGGACGGCACGGGAGTGGACCGCGCCCGCAGGAGCCCCGAAGGCAGACGGCCGAGGCGGCAGAGGAGGCCACGGAGAGGAAGCCCAGCCTGGGCGACGCGGGCCGCCCCGAGGTGCCCCCTGCAGCGGGCAGCGCGGCAGCGGCCCGCGAGCCCGAGGCGAGCGCCCCCGAGGAGGCGCCGAGGCCTCCCGCGGGCAGCGCAGCGGCAGCAGCCCGCGGGCTCCGGGCGAGCGCCGCCGATGAGGCACGCAGGCGTCGGGGGCGTCCGTACGGGGGGGTGATGGGGGCCTCCTCGTTCTCGCTCTCCTCCTCCTCCTTCCTCCTCTTCCTCCTCCTCCTTTGTCCTCCACCCCTACTGCTCCTCCACCTCCATCTCCTCCTCCTCCTCCTCCTCCTCCTCCTGCTCCTCCTCCTCCTCCTCCTCCGCCTCCTCTCCTCTGCCCTCCTCTCCTCCTCCTCCTCCTCCTCCTCCTCCTCCTCGTCTTCCTCCTCCTCCTCTTCCGCCTGCTCCTCCTCCTCCTTCTCCTCCTCCTCCTCCTCCTCCTCCTCCTCCTCCTCCTCCTCCTCCCCCTCCTGGCGTCCCAGGTGGGGCGCCGAGGACTACGGTCAGGAACTTTGGCTCAGCGGTTCTGGAAGGTTTTTTGCCTTTCTCGGCCCCTGGGGGCCGCATTCGGGCTTCGGGACCGTCGAAAGCAGATTCTGGGTGAAAACTGCACCCTCCTTGCGTCCGAGAGGGCGCGTCGGGGACTGCGGTCAGGAACTTTGGCTCAGAGTGTTGCGCCGCCAGTTCCGGCCCACCGCGCTCCGGAGCGACACTCTGTCCGCGTCCCCATGTCTGAGCGTCAGTGTCCCGAGCCTTTCCAAGCCTCCCGCCCCGCGGAGCGGAGCGACGGTGTAGCGTATCGCTGGGGCCGCCGCCGCGACACGTTAAGCAAACATTCCCGACCGTAGGGGTGGTGGTGGATGTCATGGCCAGGGTCATGGCACCTCCCAGATCTCACAGGCCCCCCTTCTTCCTTCGACGCATCTCCTGGCCCACCCCCTCGTCCGCGCGCATGACTCGGGCGATGATGCTCACCCCCTCCCTAGCCCCCCTCTTCGACACACCCGAAGGCGTCTGGAGAAGGACTCGAGGAAGAGAAAACTGCACAAGCGAGCTTTCGGAGGTCCGCACTGATTTCTTGGATCTGCACTGGGCCCCCAAGGTGGCGCCTCCGGCTCCGCCCCTGGCGCGTTCCATGCGCCAGGGAGGAGGATTCAGCGCCGATCCAAGAAGTCCGCGTGAGGCCCTGCAAGTTCACGTTTGTGTGTGTGTGTGTGTTTGTGTGTGTGTTCTTCCTTCTGAGGAGGTCAGTCAGTTGTGGGAAGATGCCAAGTTGTCAGAGAGCTCCAGGGCGCTGGCGGTGAAGTGGTGCGACGACAACGGCGTCGTGGCCCTGATGGAGATCCTCGAGAACAAGGAGGAGTTTGTCGAGGCGCTCCAGCTCAAGAAGTTTGAACAGAAGCGCCTGTTCGAGGGGCTGCCTCCATTCCGCCGGCCCTCACACGAGAGAAGTGAAGTTCGAGGTGGTTCGTAGCCAGCTGAAGTTGAAGTCTGAGTTGAAGTTGGTAGCCAGTTTTCATTAGGGAAAAAACACACAGACACAATTCATCGTCGACTCCCAGGAAAATATGGGAAAATATGGGAAGTGGGGGGGAAGACGGAAACCCAGAAAATATTGGAAAATATGGGGGATCATTTTATTTGTGTGTATTTATTTGTGTGTCCTTGGGCCCCTTGAAGTTTGAAATTCGAAGTGGCCACTAGCCCTTCGAGGCGGTCGCCAGTCTGAAGCTGTGAGCCGTCGTGGCGGTTTTTTTTTGCGCGGGCCCGAGGGCCGTGCCGTGGTCACAGCTTGGCCTCTGCTCAGGAGGGGAAAAAACACACACAGACACCATTATTCGTCGACTCCCAGAACATATGCGAAAATATGGGAAGTGGGGGGAAGACAGAAACCCAGAAAGTATGGAACAGATGGGGAATCTTTTTCTTTGTGTGTGTATTCATTTGTGTGTCCCAGGGCCCCTTCATTTGCCTCCCTGCAGGGTGTTCTCTGGGAGGTGCAGGGCAAGCAGCCATCAAGTGGCCTCTGGGGCTATCCCACCACGGTGCCTAATCAGACTGTGGCCAGGAGGCCTCCGGGGCCTCTCGTGAAGCCGCCCGGGGATCTCTCGGAAGCGCCTCTGGAGCTCGGGGGGCACCTTGGGGTTGGAGGGTTCCCAGGGCACTTCTGACTTCCCCCTCGTGGGCCTCTCTTGGGTGCCTCTTGTGGCCTACTGGGCCCCTTTGGGGGGCCTCGGGTGCTTCCTGGGACGGCTTGGGGGGCCCCTGGGGCCGTCTTGGACGCTCTCAGGATCAATAGGCCGATAATGGAAGCATCAAACGAACATGATACAACGTCCATTATTGTTTCAATGATTGTGGCCTGTGGGGCCAGCCTCCAGGAGCCCTAAGGCGTCCCAAGAGGCTCCAAACAGAGCCCCAGGACGGACTTCTTGGACCACCTGGTCCATTTTGGGCGCTTCTGCTGTTTTGGTTTGTAGAGTCTTTGGAGGCCAGACTGAGGGGCTCTTGAGAAGCTCGCGTGCCCCCCCCCCCCTCCTCCTTAGCAGGATGTTGGGGGGAGGGGGAACTGGGGCATGGGGACAGCCAAACGTCTCACACGCTTTTGGTTTGCACCCGGGGAAGCGGGGCTCGGCGGACTTGAGCAGCTCATCAAGCTCGGCGACGAGATGCTGGAGGAGGCAGAGAGCGAGCCCGAGGAGGAGGGAGAAGAGGTTAAGTACTCTGTGATACACTTGGTCTTTGGCCATCCTGCGGAGGTTACCAAGGGCGTCGAAGCTCTCCTCGGCATCACGACTCAGGAACGCATCAGTGGAGAGGAGAAGGGGTTGGATGCCATTTGGGAGGAAGTGAAGAAGGCTGGCACAGAGAAAGATTGCGCCAACCTCCAGTACATTCTCCACGCCGTCGCGCAGGAGGAGTCGAGCCTTCCGCCCCACGTGGTCGAGGACTACAAGAACGGCTGCTACCACGGAGGGCGACTCGCGGAAGGCGACTACGATTTTGGCCACGCGGGCATGACCTTCCAGTCGTTCATGGAGAGAGAGGAGGCCAAGCTAGCGGGCCTCAACGAGCCAGAACTGTGCTCGATTCGTCTTTATACGACGAGCTCGTTCCCGCTCTTCAACAGACCCTTGCGCCAGGGTGTCAAGCCGCACCCGATGGCGATCACCGTGTATCCAGCGGCCTTCGGCCCACCCCCGCCCCCCTTCCTCGATTGTAGACGAGAGGCCTCTTGGATGCCCGTGGGGATCTCGCGGGAGGCCTCTCGGATGTCTCTCGGTGGTGGGTTGGTGGTGTTTTGGGGGGCCTCTCGGGGGCCCCTTCGGGGCCTCTTCGGGGCCTGATTCGGGTCTTTTTGGGGGCCTCCCGGAGCTCCTGGAGCTCTTCTTGGGGTCTGCTGGCGGTCTGGGAGGTACTCTTGGGGCGGAGGGCTCGAAATGTCGACTCGTGTTCTCCCTTTGGGGGGCCTCTTGGGCCGTCTTGGAGCGCCCGAAGAGGCGAGAATGCTGAACCTTCCAGGAAGCCGAAGGAAATTGACGTTGGCATCTTGGGATCCTCTTGAAAGTGCCCGTTGAGCCCGTCCTGGTAGCCTCTTCGGCCGTCTGGAGGGGATATACTCGGCGTCTTGGAGCGATGTTTCGACGACCCGGCGCCCTCTTGGGCCGTCCTGGGAGCCTCCTGGGCCCCTCTTGGCCAGCTTCAAGGCCCCCCCTGGCTCCGAGAGCTGGGGAGCCGCAGGGGGGCGCGGGAGGCACGCGGGGAGCGCCGAGTCTTCCAGGCATGTGGGAGGAGGAGGAGGAGGAGGAGGAGGAGGAGGAGGAGGAGCAGGAGCAGGAGGGAGGAAGAGGATGATGAGGAGGAGGAGGAGGAGGAGGAGGAGGAGGAGGAGGAGGAGGAGGAGTGGAGTCCAGCCCCATTGGTGTCCATTCCTCGGGGCGGGGTCGGAGGATGCCAAGTCCGTGCGGGGAAAGCCCGCACGGAGTGTTCGGCCTCCGTCTGGGCTCGGCCTCTCCTGGCAGGATGCCAGGTCCGTCCGGGGCAAGTCGGCACGGAGTGCTCGGCCTCCGTCTGGAGCTGCCCCGTCTGGACTTGGCCTCTCCTGCCTGAGGACGCAGGAATCCAAGGGCTCCCTCGAGGGCGCGAAGTTATTCGCGCTTCGCGCTTCGCGGTCCTCGTTCCTCCTCCCCCTCCTCCTCGTCCTCCTATTCTCCCTTTGGGGGGGCGGCGCGAGAGCGCGAAGTTATTCGCGCTTCGCGCTTCGCGGAGCGCGAAGCGCGAAGTTGGGAGCCCTAGGGAATCAGCCAGGGGACGTTTGTGCCCGAAGCACGGTTGCGGATTTTCTGATCAATGGCATCAAAAAACTTCGGGCGGCCGCAGCCTCAGTGTCTGTTGGTCACGCAATCGGCGATCAGAGACCACAGGGATCGGGTGATCACCCGATCGTGATGATTCTGGTCGCTCTGTTACCTGCCCGTCGTCCTTGTTTCGAGCGTATTGGTCAGCAGGTTGGTCAGATGATCATCCGATCTTGCGATCGGGTGGGGTGGCAGGCCGGTCACCAAGGTCGCCGCGAGTAAGCCTGGTTTCCAGGACGAGAAGCGGCTTTACCGGGGCATGAAGAATGCGGACTTGGACCTAGTGAAGTTCAAGGCCGAAGGCGGTGCTGAGTTCGCAGCCATGTCGACGACTCCCACACTGGAGGTGGCACACAGCTACTCAAGGAGCAATCGGCCGCTGCTCTTCATGTTCCTTGCAAAGGGACTGTCCAAAGGAGTGGAGATTTCATGGTGCAGCGTTTACCCAAAAGAAGATGAGGTGCTGTACCCACCTGGCACCTTCTTGCGCTACGTCAGGGACAAGAAGGACCCAGAGGGCACCAAGATCATCCAGATCGAGCCGCAGATTCCTTGAGCTGGGCCTTCGGACACACTCTCCACCATCGCATCCTGTGAAGAGTGTCATCCAAGGTGCGTGCGCTTCATGTTTTGCTGGTCGAGATCAGCCTCTTGTCGTCTGTATCCACGTGCCTGCTGTAAAGACGCCGCCGCGCCACGGGTCGGCAGCGAGTCGTTAGACACGCTTTCCTGCCTTCACGTCTGGTGGCAACGTGGCTTCTCGCCTGTGACCTCCTTGTAGCGTTCGGTATTTATCCGGCATCGTAGCTGAAAGACTTCCCTCTGACTGGCGGCGTGGCGCAGCTTCACGAAAAAGTTTGTCGCGCCGTTCGTCGAAGCAAGGGAGCACGTATCTGCATCCGCCACTGAAAATCACTCGGGCCGCTGATGATGTCAAGCTGGAAGGGGCATACCCCGCCAGGCGTGGCGGTGCCCCCCCGTGACAGTAGAGAGCTAGATGCCGATGCCACAGTATACTGCATAGCTAACTTGCAGCGCACTTAATCGTTGGGCTGAGTGTGCCAGGGTACTTGTGCCAGGCTATAAATGCATTCGCCGGTAGTCGCACACACGCGCGCACACACGCACGCAGACATCATGTTTGTTTGTTGGCCGTCCTTGTTCAATCACTGCTTCGAGTATAATATCACTGGTGTGACATGTGATGACGCACATAGACGCGTGCATACACCGTCAACTCTCACATATTTGGTTGTTACATCTACACAGCTGCTAGGAAGGGAGAACTCGAATGCTTCAGTTCGGGGCTGTCCAGGCGCATTGGAACTAAGAGGGTGAGGAGGTCACGAAAATGGCCCCAAATGGCCAAACGCGACTTCTGTAAGTGTGTACGTATGCATGCACATCTACACACATATGTATATGTATACATATACCTTGGCCCGGTTGCCAGGGTTCACTCGTTCGCACCGGAATACGCTATTTGAAGACGCAAGGCGCGATGTCAAGTGAAAATGGCATTGACGAGCCAGAGGGTAAAGACGCTCTTCCCAGTGAAGACGCCTTCTCCTGTGAAGACGCTATTCCCTATGAAGATGCAATTCCTGTGAAGACGCTCTTCCCCGGGAAAACGTACTCCAATAGTGATCGCTGTGTGGGACGGAGTGCGGCATATGCGCCACTTCCCGCGCAGATTGTACCATGGACGAACTCGCTATTCCAATTGAACACGCTATTGCCGAACAAGAGGGTTGAAGACGCCATTCCTGGTGAAGACGCTATTCCTGGTGAGTACGCTATTTCCAGGGTGTGCGCTATTCCCAGTGAAGACGCGAAACCCGGTCGAGGCGCTATTTCTGGTGAAGATGCTATTCCCAGTGAAGACAAGTTTTGTGAAGACGATATTCCCGGTGAAAGCGCGGTTTCGACCAGGATCGTTTTTCGAGAAGGCGTGAGAAATTCGCGCAATCTCCCGAACCAGAGGGTGAAAACGATATCTGTGGTGAGGACACGTTTCCCGGTGAAGGCGGTATTCCCCGTTTGGACGCTGGTTCCGCCGAGCACGCTGTTCCCAGCGAAGACGCATTTCCTGGCGAGAGCCATTCCCGTCGAAGGACCCACGTTTGCTTCGTGGGCGCGAGTAGCAAGCAGAAAACAGATAATGAAGGGTCGAGAGTTGGACAGGTACAGGGTATATAACTGAATCTATGCTACATGCAAAAGTGTTGGCAACACACACCTTTACAACACTTACACAATTTATGCATTTTTACGTCCTGGGCCACACATGGGGCATGTACACTATACTCAACATCTACAACCGACACCGTATACAGCATGTACACCATATTCATCACAGATCAAATGCACACCATGTTCAACGAACGCCAGCAAACGATTTACAACTGTACACCATGCGCAACATATACAACATGTGCAACACACCATGCACAACGTTTGCATCATCGCATCGTGAAGTACGCGTATGTCATGCACCGCATACAATGTAAACGACACAGGCAGTGTATACAACATTCGGGACGTCTGCAACATATATAACACCATACACGGCACCAATATCATACACGACATAAGCAACCTACATTGTCGACCCAACAATAACAAGCATGTACATATAGACAACATGTACGCCGTTCACAATCGAGTCACATTGATAACCGCTGTTCTGCCACATCCTCTACACCTGCATCATACACAACAGGCGCGGCATATACAATACACACAACATCCGCAACGCACGCAAAATATACCTCACATATAACGCGTACAACATACCAGTACGACCACCCTTCGGATGATAAGGAGATTGTGGGGGGGAGTGTGGGGGAAGATCCAACTTATGGCAACTGCGATGTTTGTGATGAGGGCGATGCTGGTGATATGCCCCCGAGTTGTCGACGACGCGTGATGGTGGTGCTGCGTCGCGATGTGATCTTTTTAGCGATCTCGCATCCGATCTCACTATCAGCCCCACTCGACCGACCTCACGGCCGATCAGTCTCAATAAATGAACCCGTCTGGCAGAGCCAGGGTGTATCGACAACAATGCCGATATCATTGTGGATCGTCCAATCGATCTCTCCCTCTCTCTCTCTATCGCGGTCGGTGTCCCTATCGCTTTCCGTCAATCGATTCCACTTGCCCGGTCGCCTCTAATCGTTGGCACTATCGGGTTCATTCGATCAATATTATTGTCGATGCCGTCGCCAGTGATGGTGACATTATAAACCGTTTGGCGTATTGGGATCTTCGCGACCTCACCCCTCAAGTCTCACTATGGACACCACCAGGAGACCATCAAGACACCATCGACACACCACCAGGACACCATCAGGACACCAATCGGGACACCAATCGAGACACCGACGGGACACCGACGGAGCACCGACGGGACATCGACTGGACACCGACGGGACACCGACGGGACACCGACTGGGCACCGTCGGGACACCGACGGGACACCGACGGGACATTTGGCGCATCGGAGTCTCTACGATCTCCCCCGCAAGTCCCATTATCGACCGCACGAGCGATGCTGGATACCACCTTTGTATACGGCCGGGACACTGCTGGGCCGCCATCTGTACACCGTACACCACCAGGGCACCATGTAGACACCACAGGGACACCGTAAGGACACCATCGGAGCACCACTCGGGGGCACTTATCGGGACACCACCAGAACACGATCGAGACACCATCGACACACCACCAGGACACTAATCGGGACACCAATCGGGAAACCAATCGGGACACCAACGGGGCACCGACGGGACACCGATGGGGCACCAACGGGGCACCAACGGGGCACCGACGGGGCACCGACGGGGCACCGACGGGGCACCGACGGGACACCGACGGGACACCGACGGGACACCGACGGGACACCAACGGGACACCGACGGGATACCGACGGGACAGCGACGGGACAACGACGGGACACCAACGAGACACCGACGGGACATCACGGCGGGACAATTCGGCCACCGCCCGCCCACCGGGGAGGTTCGGACAACTGTCTTGCCCCGCCCGCGCAACAGCGGAGTCATTCCTCTCGCCCGCCCACGCCGATGCAATGCACGTACCACGTGAAACACATACATTCATATGTCGGATCCAGCAGGGGCAGCATATACATACCTATATGACCACCCTTCGGGTGATAAGGAGGTTCGGGGGGGGAGGAACCAACGTCTCACTCGATCGGTCTCACTATCGATCTCACTATCGATCTCACTATCGGTCTCGCTCGGTCGATCTCACTCGATCGAGCTCACAATCGATCTCACTCGATCTACTTCATTCGATCGATCTCACAGTCGATCTGACTATCGATCCCACAATCGATCTCACTATCGATCTCACTATCAATCTCACAATCGATCTCACATTCGGTCTCACTATCGATCTCACTATCGATATCGCAATCGATCTCTCGATCAACGTCATCATCATCAGCATCATCGTCATCAACGTCATCAACATCATCATCGTCATCATCATCATCATCATTATCATCATCGGGACACCATCATCATTATCATCACCACCCCATCACCATTATCAACATCATCATCATCATCATCATCATCGGGAAACCATCATCATCATCAGCAGCATCGGCACACCACCATTCATCATCTTCATCTCAGCATCATCATGAACAACATCATAAACATCACCATCATTGGGGCACCATTAGCATCAGCAACATCATCATCATCAACCTCATCATCATCATCATCATCATAATCGGGACACCATCATCATCGTCACCATCATCATCATCATCATCATCATCATCATCATCATCATCATTGGGACACCATCATCATCATCATCATCAACATCAGCATCATCATCGGGCCACCATCATCAAAGTCACCATCATCACCTCATCATCTTCATCAACATCATCGTCATCATCGGGACACACTCATCGTCATCATCATTATCAACATCATCGCCATCATTGGGACACCATCATCATCACCATCATCATCAACAGCATCATCATCATCAACCTCATCATCACCATCGTCATCGGGACACCATCATCATCATCTTCATCATCATCAGCGTCATCATCTCATCTTTTCATCATCATCAACAACAGCAGGATTATCAAAATCATCATCATCATCATCGGGACGCCATCATCAGCGTCATCAGAAACATCAGCATCAACAATATCATCATCGGGACACCATCATCATCATCATCATCATCATCAGCATGGCCATCATCATCACCATCATCATTATCATCAAACTCGTCAACATCATCATCATCATCGGGACACCATCATAATCACCACCATCACCATCATCATCAACATCATCGACATCATCATCATCATCATCATCATCATCATCATCATCATCATCATCATCATCATCATCATCATCATCATCATCATCATCATCATCGGGACACCGACGGGACGCCGGCGGGACACCGGCGGGACACCGTGGGCCACCGGCCCCCGGAAAGGAATCATTTGGTTTGGCCGCGCCTCAGCCGGAGGCGGAACAC